GGGGTTGTTCTAGAAATCTTGACCTACACCAAAAGTGGGGCATTGCCCTACATAAACATAGGAGAAGTTTGGTTTCATTGGTGTGAATTTTTGTTTGGTTATAGCGAAAACTCTCCTCGTCTTTTTTAAGAAACTGAACAAGGGTCCAAAAACTTTACCTTCGAATTTCTCAAAAGGGCATTTTTCGGGATAGTCCCCTTGTGCTTAAAAGGGACCATATGCCAGTGACGGAAAAACACCATCGTTTTATGTGAAAGAACAGTGTGTGTGTGTCGGTCACCATACGAACACAGTCATATACAGCATAAGAAAATAATAACGATAATAATAATAATAATACATGTATATATTATATGCACTGGACTACAACACCACTAGAAGCCAAACTTCTCAAAAATCAAAAACAAAAGGAACCGGACACAACAAAAAGGTAGCAAAAGTACAGGATATAACATTCATCCAGTTCTGCAGTGATCATAATACATTGTACTTGACCTCAGAGAAGGTAATGTCTTTGAATGGAAACAGAGAGAGATATATTCTTCTGTTCAGAAAGGAGTCCCCAACCCCACAACTATTTCTACCACAATTCAAAAACTTTGGAACAAAACCAAAAGTCTCGAAATGTACTATCTTTTAATGTATCACAATTAATTTTATAAAATATAACTTCTGACATTTTGTATTGTTGTATTGTTCTTGAAAAACACTTACCCCCCCCCCCATAGTATTATTACTAATATTACAACAATGTTATATTCTCAAGGGACTAGGTACAAAGAAAGGAATTTCCCCCCCTTTCACAATTCACATCCTGCCGAAACTGAATAAACTTCCACGGCCTAGAGAGACAAAAGCCAGCAGACAGAAGAAACCTCATCCTAACTGGCAGTCACAATTTGCTCATCTCACGAAGTTCTGACTTAAGTTACATGTATGTGTGTGTCCAGCGTCTTCAACAACTGTAGTAGCCAATCACATCAGTTACTTTAGATAAGACTTTTAAGTTAAGTGAGTTATAATATACCTTGTAACCAAATATTATTAGACCATCATATTCCCCTTATCAGTGGTAAATAATGTAATGGTAGTAGTAGATGTTTAGGTATGTATGTGTGTGCGCATACATGGTTCTGTGTGTGCCTGTATGCGTGCACATTTGTGAGTGTGTGTGCGTGTGTGTTAGAGAATACAAAACCCAGTTTGTACGCCAGGGTAAAAATAGAAGCAATTATCTATCAAGAATGTTTTGAAAAAAAAGATCCCACATTGACAGTGCACAGTAAAATCCCTGGAAAAGTTTCAAAACATCAGCTGTATGAAAAGTAAAGGCCTGCTCCAACACTGTGTCAGAGGTCGAGTCAAAGGTCAAAGCAAC